CTAGCTGGGTGTTGTGCCGGGCGCTTTTAGTCCCAGCTACTTGGGAGGCTGAGGCAAAAGAATCACTTAAGCCCAAGAGTTTGAGGTTGCTATGACCTGTGACAATACGGCACTCTACTGAGGGTGAGTGAGAATCTGTTTCAAAAAAAAAAAAAAAAAAGAATTGCAGAACAATATCATGTGTGTGTTACCTTTAGGATAAAATCTAGGGGGATGGATTCAAAAGATGTTTTTATATTTGTTTGATATGATTAAATTTTGGAAGGATATTTTTATAAAATGAATAAAAGTGACTACCTGTAAGAGGGCAGAGGGTAAAGTGTGGGTGTTCTACCCTGAATATATTGAATATTGTTTTGTTTTTGACCATGTCATATGCATTAACTATTTTAAAATACCTTAATAAAAATAAAACAAAAACTTTGTTTAAAAAGAAGTGTCCTTAGGCCGCGGAGTGGTGGCTTACGCCTGTAATCCCTTAAGGTGGGGTGGGGGGGTTGGCTCATGCCTGTAATCCCAGCACTCTGGAAGGCCAAAGTGGGTGGATTGTCTGAGCTCACGAGTTCAAGACCAGCCTGAACAAGAGCGAGACCCTGTCTCAAAAGATTAGCTGGGTGTTGTGGTAGGCTCCTGTAGTCCCAGCTACTCAGGAGGCTGAGGCAAGTGAATCACTTGAGATCAGGAGTTTGAGGTTGCTGTGAGCTATGATGTCAAAGCACTCTACCCAGGGCGACAAAGTGAAACTGTCTCTAAATAAATAAATAAAAATAAAAAGAAGTGTCTAGGCTGGGCGCAGTGGCCCACACCTATAATCCTAGCACTCTGGGAGGCTGAGGTAGGAGGATCTCTTGAGCTCAGAGTTCAAGACCAACCTGAGCAAGAACACGACCCCATCTCTTCTAAAAATAGAAACATTGCCGGGCATGGTGCAGGAGCCTGTAGTCCCAGCTACTCAGGAGACTAAGATAGGAAGATCGCATCAGCCTAGGAGTCTGAGGTTGCTGTTAGCTAGGCTGATCCCATGGC